TCGCGACGAGAGGATCGTTTCGCCTTTTTAGGCGTGGTTGGTCAGGGAGATTATGACAAACAGCCCCAGTTCTGTTAACGTTCTGACGGAGCGGGACCAGGTCATGCCTGCCAACTCGGGCTACCATATGTCGTTCTTTACCAATTATACATTGGACGGGATTAAGGCCACGCTCGCGGTGTCGATCGATTCTGTGACTGGCGCTCCGTGCGCTGGCTGGGATAATATGACCGCTCGGGCCTTGAGTCACGTGACTTTTCAGGCTTTCATCTGGCCGGTGCTCCGGGACACCTCGCCATCGTACGCCGATATCAAGATCTACAATGGCAACGAGATCCTTTTTCACTGGATCTTCCGAGGCTATCGTACGGACACTGACCTCTCGGTCCAGCAGAAATTCGCTAATGAATATTTTATTCGAGGCACTCGCCAAGGACGGGCTCGCGTGTCTGTGGCGGTGGCTGTCTTTTCAGGATGGAGGGTCTCCGTGTTATCGTTCGAATGTGGTGGTCGGACCTATTCGATCGGACCCAATGGCACGGTGATCGCCGGCGACAGCGCGCGCTCACGCTTTGAGCTCCGCGTTTCCGATCGGTCCTCAGAGGATGCTATGGGAAATGATGCTACCAGGGTGGAGTTTCGCTATCGCGACTCCAACAACCGCATCGATCTCAAGTGCTCTCGCACATCGGTGCCGGTGACATGGCTCACAGTGTCGCATATCAGTGGGCCGATTTTGATCCAAACCATCTCTCGATGCCGTGATCAAAGGGCACGAGTCGAAGGTCCGGAGCAGACGGAGCTGTTCGCCTAGCTTGCTGCAGCTCATCAGGGCTGGTGGCATGATGCGGCGACGCTCGATCCCAGCCAGGTCGGAGTCCGGGTCACGTTCGTGGCTGGACTCGATGCCGGAAATTTTCATGTGCAGACTGAGAGCAAGCTCTTCGTGAGGGATCCCGAGGTCGTGGTAATAAAGGCGCTCGCCGAGATGTCGCATGATGGTGGTGCGATCGTAGCAGTGCCTCGTGGGCCGCCGGCGCTCGCCCAATCTGCCTGGTCAGCTGCGGCAGAGTCGGCGAATGCGCTCGCTGACATTCCTTCGGGCGCGGGGGAGTTGGCAGTTCGTCGTCGTGCTCAAGACGACCTGGACACCCGCACGTTCGCTGCGTCGGTCGATCCGATCAACTATGATCAGAAGACACTCGCGGGCATATGTCGGATCCTGTCCGTGATCAGGCCCGAGACGATCGGTCTTTCTGAAGATCCACGGCGAAGTTGACCCCACAGCTCTTCGCCGAGTTGATTGGACCTGGCACGCCTTTCGGCAGCGGCCGTTCGGCCCCGGCCTCAGCTCAGCCCTCGTCGGTCACCGTGCGCGAGGTCATGGAGGCAGATCCGGAGTCGAGCGATCCTCAGAACTTGCTCGGTCCTGTGGGTGAGCCGACTTCGTTCAAGCCGCACCGAACGCCATGAGTGCGGCCTGTGCTCACAGGTGCCCGATTTTTAAACAATGTTCGGGCAGAGCTCGTTCGACGAGCGATTTAATTTTGATGTTTCTTTTGCCCTCGCAAAGACTCGCACCCGCTTTCTGGTCGCCAGCACGACTCAGGCGACCCGCTCGGGAAGAGCCAAAAAGGAGGGACTGTGCGGTTTCGGGAAGAGACTGAGCAGTTCGCTCTTGGTGCTGTTCAAACCTTACAGTTCTACAACATGTTCTCTGCTGCTTGTGTTGCTCTAAGGTACTGTGCTAACTTGTCATGTTCATGTCATGTCACCACATGTTCTTGTTGTTTTGTTCTGCACGGCTCGCGCACACTCGCTCTCGCCTCGCTCGGGAGGAGGGGGGGGCTGGCGGCTGCAAGACGAGCGACCTGTTCCTGTCGATGACCTTGCCAAGGAACAGAGTCCCCGAGCTTCCTCTTCCGATCTGCGGGCTCAATGACCAGGTCGAAAGACTTTGTGAATTGAGGCAAAGTTCCTTGCAAGACCTGCTCAACCACCGCAGACCAGGCGAGCGCGAGGCCGACGGGATAGATTTGCGCCGGCTTCGTGGTAAAGATCCAGCGGCCGTCAGGGCGGAGAACCTTGTCCTTGAGCGGAACATGGACATGACCACGCGGACATGTGTGTGCGAGCTGAAGAAAAAGCGCATTGCTAACCAAGAGACGTGAAGCCTTCTTAGAAGCGCCGCCGAACTCACACTAATCAAGGTCCACATTATAAAGGTGGTGCCGAACTTTGAGCTGTTGAACAGCGGGAACCTGCCAAAGGAGACTACTGAGAGGGTTCTCCAGGCAGAAATCGCCCCCAGAGGTGATCACTAATTGCATGAACAGCAACGAGCGAGTAAGGAGCTCGTTTGCCGCAAAGAGCTACTCTTCTTCCGCCGCCGACCTGTTCGCCAGACCAAGAGGCATCGAACTAGAGCGCAACGGCCGTAGACCACCTGGACGTTGTCGAGCTTGACTAAAAGTCGAACACGGCAAGCCCACGTACAAGAAGCCGATCGCACCCATACGCGCTTAGAGCAGGAGTCGTTCGGAGAAATCGCCATCTAGAAGATCTTGTGGCTTAATCACCTCCCGCGACCGCATAACATCGATCGGCGGCAGCACCAGGAGACCTCGTCGACGTAGGTGGGCTGGGAAGACTCCACTCCCTGCGAAGAGCTCGAGACCCCAAGGGCCAAATATGGATCCTTGGGAACTTGCGACCAAATAGCCCGTGGCGGCGCCGAACCACGATCAGCCGAACTCAACTTCTGAAAAGGAACTTCACACGTCGTCGCGAGCAGAGCGACCGCAGACGACTTTAGCTGTTCGAGGGAAAAATCCCCCGGCGGTCTGTCGAGCACGTCATCTAGAGTTCCCAGACCACAGAACCCAGGCGAAGCCACAGGAGCTCAATGGTTGCCATGGTAAGGGTGATCACCCCCCACACTGGACATAGATGTTCTTATTACGACACTGATCTCCAGAGCGGCAGCCAAGGGAACAGTTGAACCAAGGGCACCGCCGAGCTCCCGTGTACGTGAAAGACATAATCTTCTTTCATTCCTTCTCCGGAATACGGGGGTCGCGATCGGCTCGGGCCGTGAGCTTGGCCCCTCCTGAAGGTTTCGACTTGTCCTTTTCCTTGTCCTTGGCGAGCTTGATTCAGAAGAGCTTTTTGCTTCTCACGGCGAGCGTGGTTCTTCTTCGTGCGAGCTTCCGAAGCCGGCGGCGGGGGCGGTGGGGGAGACGTAGATCTGGGTCTCTTGGTAGAGGTCGGATCGTGCGCCACCTGCTTGAACTTGTCGAGCTCCGCCGTCGAGCGAGCGTCGTTCTCGAGCTGCTTGTGATTCTGAAGGACCTCCTTCAAGGCCGACGAGAAGGTGGGGAAGTCCTTCCACTTGTCGTTTGAAAATTTGTAGACCTTTCTGGGCAAAGAGTCTGCCGAGAAGAATAACGAAAGACCTTTATTTTTATGGCGCCATTCTTCGAGCTCGGAGAGGTACTTGAGCGGGCCCGCCTCCACGAGGAAATTACAAATCTTGAGATACTCGTGCGCCACGAAAAATACATGAAGTCGATCCATCTCACTCCCTTCCGATATTGTTGTCATGCTGGACGACTCTCAGCAGATCGTCTGAGGTCTTTGAAAACCCAGAGGTTGAGACGATCTAGTCGGAACGGGAACACATTTCTGCGACCTCGTAGAAGGCGACCGTGCCGTGGACCATATAGTCACAATGGATGCGCTCGACGAACTTCCTGCGTGGCTCGCGCATATAGGCGAGGATCACGTCTGGGTGCTGGTTCACGAAGATCTCCCGAAACTCTGTGTGATCTTCTCCGGGATTTTAGAGGGATCTTCCTCCATCTTTGCCCGCCGAGTGGCCACGTGTTCTTGCAGCGTGGACGCTAACTTCCAGATCGCCGCCAGCAATGTAAGCGAGAGTTCTCTGGCAGGTTCGTCTGGCCCGAACTTGGTATCATCACCACCAATGGCTTTAATCGTGGCCTTGACCGAGGTGATGGTATCGCCGAGCATGGCCAACCCCCTCGACCGAGAGCATCCCCTTATCGGCGAGCAGCAAGCAAAGATCCTCAGGCAGCTTCTGTCGGCCGAAGATCTGACGCAGAGCGAGCTCTGGAACCTTATCCTTATCAGAATAGACGGTACGATCAAGTATGATAAAAATCTCTATGTGAGTCAAAAAGCGAGCGCTTGCAAAAACACTTGAACAAGACTAACGTGCACACACTGAGCATGGCAGAGACTTCAGAGCTTAAGCTCAAGCAATACATCCGGTCGTGCTCGTGCACAGAGCTTGTACAGCATCTTAGGGTCAAGAAGAACCGAGCCTATATGCACGAACTCAGAGGTGATCTCGCGCTTGCAGGCGATCTCTTCAATTGATTCGGCAGAATCAATATGAAATTTATATTCATAGCTGGGTTCTCTTCTCAGGAGCTTTAGTGAAGAACTCTATGAGACAATCACCGCGATCTTCGGCGTCATCGATGGCGTCGTCTTCACGAGCAGATTCAGGCTCGTACTCCTTGGAGACCTCGGAGACCAGATGTTTGATCATAAAAGCTGGCAGCGACGAACGCGATCGGGCGTGCTTGAGCACTAGCGGACCTGGGTTCTTCCAGTTCGCCTGCACTCCGATCTCCTATTCGCTGCGCTTGCCATGGACGACCTAATCAAGCATCGTGAGCCGGACCGAATGCCATATAAGAGCTACGACCTTCTATAGAGATTCCTGACTGGCGCCAGCTTCTTTCCTCGTGTGCCAGACCAAATAGTGCAACCATTACAACGATCGCACATACTCTGGCGGGATTACGCGCCACTATATTTGCGATCCAGATCTGATATCTAAAAATCACGCTCCACGAGCGGGAACTTCAACTCGAACAAATTGAGGCCGATCTTGAATCAAGAGTATTTAGAGAAAGTTATATCTGGGACGACGAACTTGGTCCCACGTCTTTTTCGTTCGCTCTTGGTTTGCCAAAACACACCGAACAGACCCTCCGGCTTGACGAAGCGCGAGCTTGCACTATCGCTAGCGATCGCCGTACCATTGGCTCCGACCGAGTAGGTTACAAAAGAGAATACGGAGATCCGCCAATCTGAAAAAACTGCCACGACAACAGACAACCGAATACGACCGCGGCAAACGCCCTTGCTGAAGAACTCATCGGCGAACTGCTGCTAAACTGAAAGATCGGTGTCAGCGCGAAAGCATCTGAAGATCCAATAGATCAGGATCTCGTTCCCATTATAGATCTTCACATCCGTATAAGAAGGCGAGGTAACGTTGAGCTTGAGCACGACCATGAAAACGGCTGAAAAGCCACATGGCTGAGAGCATTGGCAGTGCCGGGAACTCCGATCTGTGAGTCGACCGAGATCGCCGTCGTCGCCTTAAACCATCTTAAAACCATCGAGCGTGAAATTCGCGAAGAGAGACAAGTAATAACCTAACTGAGGTAGCATCACCTCACCTCATCTGTCTTCGTGAGCACGTTCATAGAGCTCGATGAGTTCGTCAGAATCTCACGAACCAACCAGGCCTAAAAAGGCGACGCGATACGATCGTGCCGCTTGTTCGCCATAATAATAGACGTCTTTCGCTCATCGTCTTCGCATTCGGCGATCGACTCTGTGAAGTAGGGGAGCTTGACCTCCTAAGGGTTGTGAACTACAAGGAACGACTAACCCCCCCCCCCTTTCGGCCGCGATTGGGTCGATCTTGGCCGCCCCATCCTCCATCATAGTGTTAATCTTGGCGCGGACCTTGGTAGTGCTCCCAACCAAGATTAAACCGGAAATATCCCATTCAGCCATAATTTCGATCTCCCAAGCCCTTGAGCTGAGCTCCTAAACCGAAAGCAATCCTTCGTGCATCGTCAAAATAAATGCCTTGACCCAAAATATCTACGAAGGAACCATATATCTCAAAGATCAACAGAGAACTGAAATAATCACTTACAATAATGTGATTCTCCTAGCCCAAACCTATCTTACCGTAGCTAAGCCAACCAAATACTCCCATACAAATAGAAAAATAGAAATATAAAAAATAAGATAAATAGATCGACAAATATAGATAAATAATCGAATCCAGACCAATAGTCGCAATCAAAATATATAGACAAGATATAAATACAAACAAAAAATAGACAGAAACAACAGAGACAAACAAACAAAAATACAAATACAAACAACATAATACAAATAAATAAACAAATATAGGCAGATACAAACAAATAACCAGAAAAGCAGATAAAAAGAGAGAGACAACGACAGAGAGCAACTACTACAAATAAAGTGGGAACGGGAACAGTCAACAAACCCATCACCAAGACATATCCATCCCAAGCGGTGCTTATCGTGGCACCGGGCCCAATGGCCTTTCTATAGCGTGGATGCTGGCGAAGAGCGCCCGCAAAGATAGCGGGGATGTTAAAGACAGATATTAAAAAAAAAAAAAGAGAGATAAACATACACAGACGAGCGGCAAAAATTAACAGATACATACAGAAACAAGTAGAGTCAGATAGAGACACGTAACACAAATAGAGACAAAGAGAGACAGACAAAGAGAGACAAACAGATAGAGAGAGACAGACAGAGAGAGACAGACAGAGCCAGACAGCGACAAACAGAGACAGACAGAGACAGATAGAGACA